AGCAGGAGTCGCCTGCGAGCTCTCATTCGTCTGGAGCACAACTACAGCTGTCCAGTGTAGATTCAGCAGACAGGCCTCAAACCTCCACCCCACTGACCGAACCATCTCCTTCCTCTGTGTCTTCAAACCCATCTCTACCACCATCAGAGTCTCCGAAAACACTCACACTTTCACCACCTTCAACCGACAGCCCTGCTTCCCAGGATCAGGTGGAAGAGATTTGTGGAGTGGAAGAAGTGACTGCCTGCCTAAGTGATAAAGCCTCAGAGCAGACCTTAGACACCCCAGTGCCTACGCCAAGTGAACCAGAGTCTTTTTGCAGTCACCAAGAGGGGAGAGGTGAGGAAGCAGAGTCCAATGAGAGCAGAACAAATACCCCTGTTTGCACCTCAGCATCAAATGATGCTGTTTCTTTAGTGCCCACCTCTATACCAGACTCGCTGCCCCGATTTGGTGCCCAGGGTGTGGATGTCATCAGGACTTTGGCAGCTTCTTCTCAACCCTGGGAAGGTGAAAAGAATAGTGGTGAGCATCACCCAGGGACAACTGGAGTTATCCAGCATGGCTCAGACTTGAAAATACCCAAAGAGACACTTGTTACAGCCCGAAATGGATGGGTAGAAAGTAGTGAAGAGCATTCCATGAGAGAGGGGATGCTCCAAGATCATAGGAATGGAGGAAATGATGATGATGGCAAATATGAATCAGCCTCTTTGCCTTGTCTACCAAGTAATGGTGGCGAAGAAGACACTGGAGCACACAGTGATTCTACAGAAACAGCATCTGACTTCGAAAATGAAACTCAAGAGGATGAAACAGTGGACTGGCATGGAACCCAGATTAATAGTAATGGCATGCAAGCTCAGAATACAAAGTCGCAGAATCAACCTGTCATTCAGACCTCAAGTCGATGCATTTCATCAATGTTGAATATTCCTCAACACCAGCAACCAGTCATACAGGCCCATATATCTAACCCCAACCATATTCAAACTGTCATTCAGGCTCGTTTCCCTAATGGTGTGTCAAACCAGCCTGTTATTCATCCCCACAAGCAGCATGCAATTCATTCCCAAGCTATAAACCATGCTCAGGACCAGATTACCACTGTGCCCTCACAAGCCCAAATGCAAGCTTACCTGACACAGACAGAGAGGGACAACAGTAGAAATCTACGGCTGAATGATAATAGCAATGGTGTGAAGCTGTTTGTCTCAACAGAGGATGACGCCAAACCTCTCAGCAGAGGGTCTGGAGAAGATTTTGTTTTAAAGAATTCTGCCGTTCCTCCCATTGGCAGAAGAGTCCAAGGTTCATCTCGACCAGTTTCCTCTGTAGAGGCCAACAACCCTCTTGTCACCCAACTTCTTCAAGGCAGCCTACCCTTAGAGAAGGTCTTACCACAGCCTCACTTGGTCAGCAAGCTGGAAATTAATCAACTTCCAGGTGCCCCTGCAGGTAACTCAGCCAGTCGTAAACCTCAGAGAAATCTGGGACCACGTTTTAGAGGCCCGTCTGACTCAGGAGGATCTATAGAAACTGGTGGCTCTGACTTCCAGCAGAAAGCCCCATCCACTCGAATGTCTCCTGGACCTGGTCAGAACTTTGGTTCTTCACCACCGGGTTCTACTCCATCTCGAATGGCATGCTTGTTTGAGGAAGCTAGCCCAAGATCTGCAAATGTTCAGTTCACGTCTCAACCAGGAGGTGCAGTGCCCCCAGGAGCTGTACCTGTCATAACACCCCTCCCCTCAAACTCCTCTGCTAGAACCTCAATGGACGTAAACTCTCAGAATGCTCCAGTTTATGAATCAGCTGTCATTAAAGAGCACCCTGGACCTCTTCCTCCAAGGGGTGAAACTCTGGAGAGGCCAGCTGGCTTTCAACAGCATCCTAACAATCTCTCCCAGTCTGTGTGCAGAACCGCACCTGATGCTCCCTCACCTCCCAATGGTGACCTTTGTCCGTCGGAGGTTTTACCTACTATTAAGATTAACTGGCGCCCAAGCAAGCCCCAACCACCTCAGCATCATACCTATCAGCAACAGCTCTCTCCTGTAGCTACAGTAAAGAATGAAGTCTCCTCACGTCCTTCGTGCCAACAAGCTCTGACCAAAAACTCACCTGCTCCAAACAGTGGCAATACGTCTGTTGTAATAACCAAAAAGGAGCCTCTGGAAAATTTTCATGGAGGTGGTGGAGCTATGGAAGGACTGCTAAATATGGAAATGTCTCTTGTTAGAATGGCCAAGAAGGAACAAGTCAAAAATCCATATGCCCGCCAAGCAGAGACCTCCGCTTCTCCTGTCTCCTCCTCCCCTTCCTCATCTGCCTCCAGTCTCTCTTACCAGCTATATGGCAAGCTACCAAAACTACAGCAGAGTGGGGGCAACGGAGGGTCCTCATCCAGTTTCAGTTACACAGCTAATGTGTCTGTGGTGGACGGTAGCGTGTTCTCCCGCAGTTTAGCTGATGGTGTGCTGCAGCTAAGGCCACGTGTGAGCGTTGGCAACAGTGGAGGACAGAGTGCTACCCTTAGCATTCAGGCATTTGCGGACAGTGCTGCAGAAGAAGTGGCTCTCAAGTGTTCCTGCCGACTTAAGGCTATGATCATGTGCCAGGGCTGTGGCGCTTTCTGCCATGACGATTGCATTGGCCCCTCAAAACTGTGTGTGTCATGTCTGGTTGTCAGATAGTTTGTTGCAGCTCTTCCAAACTGAGCCGGTTAGTCGGAGCAAATGCTTTGACCACTCCAGACAATTCTAGCCCTTAGCCTGTGGCTGGACCCCACCAGAAGTCTTGGACTCTTGTGAGCAAAGAATGAGGCTGGACACTGCGGTGTTTAAATGGACCAGATTTTTTAATTTATTTTTTTTGATGGGCCAGGCAATACAGTAGGGCTGGAAGAATACTTGTAAGATAAAATTCAGTCTGTATTTTTGTTGCATATTTTTTCTATTGCTGTTATGATGGTGTTATTATTAATATTATTATTATGATTATAATAATAATGATCGTTATTATTAATATTGGTATTACGTGAATTTACATGGCACGTTGATTGTAAATTGTGCCTTTTTTTCCCCCAACAAAACATTTACCTCATCTACTTGACACCAGTCATCAGTTCAGTGTGAAAATGGTGACGTTCCTGGTTGTTTTCTTCTTTTGATGCTTCTCTGTAAAGAGAGATTTAGGAGAATTTTGTGTGTAATGTCTTGCAAAGAAATATTTTTTTAATCATTAAACAAGAAAATTCATTTTTGTTATTTTGTAAGTGCTTTAACTCTTCTTTTTGTTTCCATTTTTATTTTCTTATCCAAAGTGAAGTCCAGTCTGTACTTGGCGGTTAAGCACAGTATTCAAATCTAATAAAGCTGAAAGTGAGCGTATTTTCTCTTTGATCTTTTTTAACTGAGGGTAAAGTGGGCCAAAGTTGTGTTTGGGGGAAAAAAGTATCATTGTATCATCACAGTGATACAGAGTATCAATGTATTTGTTTCCACAGCATGTGCACATATTTCTTTTAATGTCACCCATTTCACGAGTTCGCACTAACATATAATAGGATTGAGCAATTAGTAAGCATATTTGGCGTGCTGTCCAGAGGGAGGGCTCCGAGCTCGGGAGAAAGCCCGAACCCCGAGAACGCCCCCTATCCCTAAAAAATGGGGTGAGAAATAGAATAGAGTGAGGAGCTGGGGTGGAGGAGGGATGCTTGAAAACTGGTTTGGGACAGAGGTAAGTTGGCTGTATATGTGTATGTGTATATATATATTTCAGTTTTTCCTTTCTCTTTGAAGTGTTACAAGCTCCTGGTGCATAAAGAAGATCTGTAAAGTTGCAAAGACTAAAGTCTCAAATCCAAAGAGATATTCTTTATAAAAGTTAAGAGTCAACCACGCCTACCTAAAACGGCTCATTCTAACACGCCCCCACATATCTACAACAGGATGTGGGAAGATTTGCATAACTCCGCCCAAATGTTCACGCAAAGAAAGAAGGCATAACTTTTATTCTCGCTGTAGTATTGTTGCCGCTGCCATGCCATGCCATGGAGACGCGGTTTTGTTGTGAAAGCAAAATTACTTTGTTTGGCCTTCCAAAAGAGGACGATATCCACTTCATCATGCCTGGAGCTGATCAGTGCTGGTCGCTGAGGAGATACATCAACTTTGCGCTGTGGATCGCCGGATCGGCTTTCACTGTGGACGAAGCGGAGTCCAGCCCGGGGTCGTCACATGCGGTTGCCGCAAGCCCGCCGGCCGTGCTGTTCTCAAGCCCGCCCGCCTCCGCTCACTCAGCCTGCCGGCCATTCCTCACTCTAGCCGCCGTGTGTGGCGCGGGGTTTTGTTGTGAAAGTGAAACTGCTTTGTTTGGTCCTATGGCCTTATAATGGGTTTTAATGTTTTCGTCTCGTCGCTCCGGCCTGACAGGGCATCACAGTATGGTAGGGGCCTAACATTTCCGTCCCATGCTTCAGGTATTCGGCCAATCAGAGCACACCTCACTTTTCAGACCGATGAGCTTTGTAAAAATCATAGAGGAGAAACAATAATGTACAGTATGTGGAAAATAATGTCTTTTGAACCATAATCCGCATAAACACATTCATTACACCAAATACACAAAATAATGTTCTTTTTAGCAGCATCATATGACCCCTTTAAGGAGTATTTGTCTCCAGCCCTCATAATAATGCGTAAAGTATGGTCCACACTTTTAGAAATCTAAATTATGCATTTAATCTGTCTCACATGTGAGCCCAATGTTTATCAGCGTTTAGACTTAAGTTTTACATTAAATGGTTGCAGAGACTACAGTCTGAGTTTATATATCAGAAAACATACATAATACTTTGGTCTATGTTCTCCAAAAACTGCAAAATCATTTACACATCAAGTCAATTTGGACCCTCTACTCTTTGATACATTTGGCACCTCATTATCTGATGCAAACTTTTGTCAATTAGACAACATAAATGTATCATTCAAAACAGGTTTTTCAATTAGTGCATTCTACATCACTGGACAAAGTGCACATCAGAGCATGACCACAATTCAGAGCACAATTTTAAACTTGTTACACAACTGTAGACTACACCTTTTATACTTCTATATAGCATAAAGCAAATGCAAAGGCCCTGAAAACTGTACAATCCCAAGACCATTTCAAATTGGCAAAACACCTCAGATAATCAGTCTTTCATCTTGAAATACCTGAAATTGTACAACACGGATTATGTTAGACGATCACATTTTTAAACGTGCCATTGTATTTTCACACAATATACGTGTAATTCATTCAGCACACAATTAGACATTTTTTACAAATCCATACACCAGAAAAATATTTAGATTTTCACTTTTCTTAGTAAATCTATGAGCTGAAACTAGATGGTATATAACGCACAAAACAAGTGAGAATGTCCATTTGAAAACGTCACTGCACAAATAACATGAAACTTAGATTAATAAATCAGTTTTCACTGTTTTTTGACTCCATGGTTAACTGTTAGCATTCTAGACCTTGAACCCAGATTGAGCATTAAGACAAACGAGACTTGGCAGAACAAAGAGTGTTGCATTTCTATGAGAAAGGTTAACAGGATAATGCAAAAGTGGGTGATTAAACAGCCATGGATTCTTGATGTGACAGTGCTAGGTAGATTTGAGTAGTTTAGAATAGAAGGAGAAGTCTATTTCTCTCTATAGTAAAGAAGATACATCTTGAGAGGTTCTGGCAAAGGCAGGCTAAGGATCCTCTCCCTTAAGAGGTTTACTGGAGTCTCTATCACCAAAACACTGCCCTCATTCCTCCTGTCATTCTCTTCTTTCTCCATACATATATAATATATATTATGGCATATGCAGAAAATGTACTGAGAAAAACGGTTCAAAGTTAATAACGCAAATGCGATGACAATTCTGTAATCATTTACTCACCCTTATGTCGTTCCAAACCTGCATGACTTTTTTTCTTTTCCGGAACACAAAAGAAGATATATTTTGAAGAATGTTGGTAACCAAACAGTTTCCGTTCTCATTGACTTCCATTGTATGAAAAAAGAACACAGTGTTAGTCAATGGGAAAAGAAACAGTTCAGTTACCAACCCTCTTCAAAATGACTTATTTTGTGTTCCCAAGAAGAAAGTAAGTCATACAGGTTTGGAATGACATGCGGGTGAGTAAATGATGATAGAATTGTCATGTTTGGGTGGGCTATTTGTTTAAATTTGTCTAAAATAAGAAGAACAAAATCAAAGCCTTTATATTCTCTATAAACTCACCCAGTATAAGTCCCACCATGGTGCTGAGGTAGCCTGTGCCACTGCCCAGGTTAAGAAAGGACAAGCCAGGCTGCAGGTCTAGAGCCTCCATCACCTCAGAGTAAATGCAGGGTGCAGAGAGGTGGATGTTGCCATGTCTCCAGGCCAGATCCTTGTAGGCACTGTCACGGAATTCTTCCAGATAGTAGTCAGCACGATCAATAGCCCTAAAGGCATGTTCAACCAGATCAGAGCGAATGTACTGGGCCTCCTTCAGGTTGTCAATCAACTCGTCATTGTCCTCCCCGGCACTGACCGCACCTCCCATTTTAGCTCTTTGTTAAGGCCAAAACAGAAGAGAAGAAAATTAAAGACATGTAAGTGTGCACGTAGCCAAATACAAAAAACTGGAAACATACTTCCTGTTGATATGGGCCTTTAAAAAAGTTGAACTGATAAACAACGACTTTCCTTTTTTGTTTCTTGCTATAACAATGGTTCTTAACTGTTTTCTGTGAAACAGAAATCTTTTGTAATGTGAATGTCTTTACTGACACTTATAATCAATTATTTGTCCATCTTTGCCTAATAAAAGTATTAATTTACTACAAAAAAAATCTTACTGACCCTAATCATCTTGCCAGGCAATAATTAAGGCTGACAAATTGTGGTAATGTTGTTTATTTGGGTTATTTCATTGTCCTAACTATGCACGATCATATTAGTTACATTTTATTAGTGTTTGTATATAATGCATTATGCATTGTTGTCCCAGACATCATTTTGGATTGTGACCCACCTGTTGATGATAACCACTTCTCTAAAAGCTGAAGGATTGCATATATGTTTATACACCAGGGCATTAAACTATTGTTTGACAACCAGAATTTGTCCAAATACATTGTGTAATCATTCTGAAAACTATATATTATGTTCATAGGTGCAAGACTTCTTTTTGAGGAGTATGTTGCTTAAGAATTGTGTTAGAGTTGTATTTCTTTAAATGCAACTGTATTTGATATTTTGTTATCTGATGCAATGGCACATACATATTAAGTATGTCTTTAGGTGTCCAAATACTTCTGGGGGCTACTGCACATGCTTTGGGCCTAACAAAACAGCATTTTTGTCCAGTTAACGGATGGTGGCGCTGGGCTGCGCTGCTGGAAAGTTAAAGCTTCCCCAGAGACGCTGTGTAGAAACTGCAGATGTGAAAAATGCTCCCACCAATCACCGCGCGCTCAAATGCAGCTGCGCCATTCGCTAACAAACGCATACTGTGCAGTGTTTTGTTGAACATCCGGGTAGTTTCTCATATACAGTTAAATATGAAATAACACACAAGCCCATTCTTTTTAATCCTCACGACCTGCCGTTCATTCTGCACGCTAAACTACAGATTAGGCTCAGTGAAAATGCATTAACCAAGAGTTTATAATTCTATTATCACTCCAGTATTTTACTATATAACAGCGAGCACGACTCATATAATGCGCTTACCTGCAAAAAGTAGACGCAAATGAAGACAAAGACAGGAAAAATCGGGATGGAGGTGTTTTGGGGAGAAACTCGTCACGGGAAACACCCCGACGACTTCACGGTCGACCGAGCTGAATCGTCTGACACCCTGAAACACCCTGATTATGGTCTGTTGATGCTGGTCATCCGGTTAACTGTCTTCTGTTGTTTCAATCTCTCGGTTTCTTCCCATAAACGTTCGCGGCGAGCAGCGCTGGATGTAAACATTGGCCAGCTGACTCGGTGACGTCACGCACACAAACAGAAATATGGGCCATGGAGCACATGGGTCCTGCTCCTGCACTACATTATTTTATGACATATTCATAAACACAGCGGTCTCTGGTGTTGATAAGGATAGGAAAAACGTAAATAGTCACTTCTTTTTTTTCTTTTTTTTACTCCGGTGAGTAATTCTCAAAGCAGTTAATTCTGTTTAAATATTGTATGGGCACATATATTTTATATATAGGGCCTATATAGAACACTTCCACCGTTACTGCACAAAAGAAAAGATTGTTGACCAGTAGCAGGGCATATGTCACACCTTATGGGGTTTGTCACAAAGGAGCCTGCCATTAAACAGCCTATGGTTTTCCAGCGACGTGTAGACAGTAAAATAAATCTATAACATTAAAAAGACGTGACAGCTAGCTCTGGTCTCCTTTCAAATTTGACCATTTCAAATCTAGAGAAAATCAGCTCTATGCACAATTTCAAAATGTTGTTGTTGCTTTAAGGGTTTTTTAACTACATTTGGGGTTTTATTATCAATAATTTGATCAATATTGGGCTTAATATTGATCTTGACAAAATACAAATACATCCCTTATGTTTCACGTATACTTAATCAGCTGAACAGAAATCGTGACTGAATAATTTTGCATCCAGCAGATGTCATCCAAGTATCCTACTGACAGTGTTTGGTTTATATTTTATCTTTGGTCCAACAAATGCCAGAGAATCCAGAATTATTGGGACTGACCAATGTCTCACAAAGTATCACTGTTGAATCAAGGGCAATTACAAGCTTGTAAATGTGCAGTAATGATAACTTAATAGAAACCTTCAATATTAAATATGGCATACTCTCTGTTGTAGGTGATAGAATTCCCATTTATTTTATCAACAACATGGGCAAAGACTATCCATATGCAGCAACCACTAACACAGAGACATTTACAAAATAAATATGCAACAAGATCTCCATTCAATTTGTTCTTAAATACTAAATAAATAACAATAAATACATCATATCTGTTCAACCCACTTCACTCTGGAGGGTGTCAAAATACTTTTATGGAAAACAGAACTCATTAAATAAAGAAGAATATTAAAAAAAACAATATAAAAATTGTTAGGTAGAAAATATTTGCACTTAAAAAAGAGATTATAAATCTCTGTCTTTAAAATAAATAGGAAGGTTTATAAAACAATTTGCTGTCGATATTCTTAAAATATTGCCTCTTTCACAACGCAGATGGCAACGTCTCTCCTCTTAATAACTGTTTAAAAGCTGTGTATAGAATTTTGCTTTGTGAAATAAATTAAGTCCATAAATAGACACTGATTAATACATAAACAAAATAACCCTTAACATGAATAAATAATAAATTAAATGTACATTTCAAGGACCCAATTTAAATAGCCATAATATTAATAATAATAATTACAATAATAACATGACGATGGAACTACAAACTATTCATGGAAGTGCAATATCTATGTTCTCAAATACGATAAATATTACTGAATGGAACGGGAGTGCATTTACACCAAATATGAGACAACGTTATCATACAGGGATCAAATGTAGCAGTGCTGCATACTAATCATATTTTGTCGAGGGAGGTCATTAATTGTGAATTCACCTTCGGACGTTACACATAAAACACTCTGTTACGCATACACACATAGACTCTCCTCCACAGACACACGACAATCTCGCGACTTAATGTTCACGGCAACCTCCATGCACTGAGGGAAGTAAGAAAGGCAGATCAGTGTCAGTGAGAGTTGCTCTAGAAAACAGTAAAATGGTTTGCTCCAAAAAAATACCCCAAATCAAGAAGAGCCAGCTTGGTTTAAGAGGATCTTGTATCTCATCAAAATTGCTAAGCAGCATCATTTGGAATTGGAATTTGGTCCTTTTTTCTGACTTCCACGGGTCTTGTGACGTTCCTCGTTTACAGAGGGTGCCACATACAAAACCTGAATGTCCTTAAACAGCATTTTTATGTTGTTGGTCTGGTTATTTAACCCACAGTGTCTTGCAGCTGCCGCTCCTCTGCTCACACCTCAATGCCTTTGACAGCCTGGTTGATCGACTCGAGTAGGGCTCGGTTCTCTGGGTTCTGATAGCACTCCTTATCGGTGAACATGTGGGTCAGCGTGTCCACGTAGGTGTCAAAATTCTGCTCAGTGATGGGTTCTTGCTGTGGTAAACAACAGATAATGGTTTGTTAAAAGCAAGCTACATAAAAGTATAATGTACAAATAATGTACAATATTTGTGCTTGTTGGGCGTAGTCATAAAAGGTAATAGATAACAAGCGGACTGACCATCTGTGGTAGACGGATGTTGGCAAGGCTGCGGATAAGAGCCTGGCTCAAGCCTGACAGTTCCATGAACAGAGCGTCATTCTTCTCCTCTATGAGCTTATTCTCCTCCTCCATGTTCTTGAGGTTCTTCTCCATGGATGAGATCTATTGAGGGATAGAAATGCATGAATAATCAGCAGCTCCGAGGTCAAGCTGTGAAGTATCCCTTTGTGTTGATGAGGTACTGTCGTTTGTAATATTGTATTTGAAGTATTGTAAATATTATCATTATCATTATATTTCTTATGAAAAGAAGTCACCAATAATCCTAGTTTCAATTAGGGTTTTTCAGTGATGAACAGTAAGAGCCTCAAACAAAATCGTATTACAAGTAGTTACCAGTGAAGGGTGTTATGCTATATGCTCAGATTACATTTCAGCCATAAGGAAACTGTTACAAATTACAGTTTACAAAAAACTGTCTTCATTACAGTTTCTGATACATGTACTGTTCAAAAGTTTGGGGTCAGTAAGATTTTTCATTCTGAAGGAAATTACTAATTTTATTTAGCAAGGATGCAATAAATTGATTAAGTGAAGACTTATTTTTTTTTCTATTCTAGAACTTTCTATTCATCAAAGAATCCTGAAAAACAAAATTATCATGGTTTCCACAAAAATGTCATGTAACACTGAAGACTGGAGTAATGGTTACTAAAAATTCAGCTTTGCGATCACAGGAATGAATTATATTTTTCAAATATGTTCAAATAAAAACTAATAGTATTTCAAATTTTAGATTGCAAAAATATTTCACAATATCAATGTTTTTACTGTATTTTTGGCCAAATAAATGCAGCTTCGGCGACCATGAAAGACTTCTTTAAAAACATTTAAAAATCTTATCAACCCCAAAGTTTTGAATAGTAGTGTGTATATGTATTTGATAAAAGCAGACCTGTGTATGGAGGTTGGCCATGTCTCCTTCCATCTCGGAGTTCGACTCATTCAGTTCATTGATTTCTTTGTTCAGCTGTTTTATGTCTTCATCATTGTCAAGAACTGAGGGGATAGAAAAACAATGCAAATGTTAATGAAGAGCACAAAATGAACATAATGGAGGTGAAAGAAGAGAAACAAATTATATTTGATCTTACCATCACTTGCCCTGAATTTCTTGCTGATGTAATCATCTCCTGGGAACCTGGCTCTCTTCTTGTAAGCTGAAGCTCTAGGGCAACCTGATAGACTGTAGAAACACATTATAATTGCAAGATATGAAAATTTTTTGCCTTAGGCTTATTGTTTTTATTACATCATCACTCAATAACCACAGAAAGCCAACAATAGGCATTTCTAATATTTCAAAACATAATAGTAAAGCATTTCCAAGACAATTAGTTTTTGTTATATTTCTAGCATAAATATATATATATAATCTCTGTATGAAACAGTGACTGCATAGTTTTAATTTACTCACAGCTTGGCCTACATCTGGACTATTTAATACTATAATACTAATATTTATTATCTGTAAATTTCACTAGGCCCTGTCTGTACCTGCGATGAGTGAGAAAACTGCCATTGGCATGTCCTGATCCATCACATCCTGGCGTAGGGCAGGTCGGGCCCTCAGTCTTGAAGGCTTTCCAGGAGAATGGTGTGCCATTTAACATGCCCTCCTTCTGCTGGCGTGCTGCCAGTGGGCACCCATAGGCACTGCGGTGGGTGGCATATTTCCCACTGATATGCCCCAGACTGTCACAACCTGGCACCGGGCACCTATAGAGAGGTAAGTGATGAACTGGCAGTCAGTTCTGGCATTCTCTAAAGATACAGGCTGTGCTCAATAAATCCACTGTTTTCGTACAGCAAAAGTTGAAATTGTTTTGTAAAAAACATACTTTAGGAGCTCAGAATCTTCTTTGTCATCCTTAGTTGGGGTGGTTTTGATTCCTCCCTTCTTGGCACGTGGACATCCAGACAGACTGCAAAAGAGAAAATGCTAACGTTATTTTTCTACATGAGCAGTTTGATATTTTTGATACAAGAATAGTTGCAAAGCTTGACACTGAATCCTAAAGTGCATCTTGAATGTTGATGCATTAAATATAAAATCTCTTAATTAACATACCTTCTATGGGAAGCATAGTTTCCAGTGATGTGTCCTGATCCATCACAACCTGGGGTAGGGCATCTGGAGGCCACAAAGAGAAAGACATGCTGTTAGCAAGAACTTAGCATTGCTTTAGAAAGATACAATTCAAATATCACACATACAATCATACTGGAAGTTTAAATAAACTTTTGGGCTTCAGTCTGGATGCTTAATGTGTCTCAGCTGGTTCGATGCATCTCAAGGACACAGTCCAAGAGAATTATATTTTTGTCCACTGAAAATGTAAAGTGATGATTACTGGTTCAAAGAGTACAAGAATAGCCAAAAGGACAGTAAAAAGTTTTACAGAAACAGCAGTATTAAGTAAAGTCAAATAAAAGCAGTAATCTGTGAAGTTTGGTGAGGAGTCATTAGAGGAAAAATTAGAGCACAGACATACTTGAGTTCAGTAGTGTGGGCAGCCATGAGGGTCCGAAGACTTTTATCAGCAAGGGGACAACCAGAGAGACTGAAGAACAGTAGAAAAACACCAGGAATAAAGAATAGAGGGAAGAAGATTTAATTGAAGATGGAAGATATATATA